TATAGCTAATTGTGGACTCAATTAGTGGCTAGTCGTGGACTCGACTAGCAAATTGATTCGTGGACTCGAATCAATCTTACTTTCTTCAACCTTAGATTTAGGTTCGTGGACTCGTTCTTGAATCGAAGGAAACTAGATCCGACTCTAGTTGATTGAAGATTGCATCATCGAGGTACTTGAAGCTACAATGGGATTCTTCCAAGTCTTTGAGGATTCGAGACAAAGGGTTTCTCGTGAGGTTTAAGGTATTTCAATCCATCTCTATCTTACATTGAGAGCTATTCTTGGGACAATACTCATCATATTTGAATCTTGGACTAGATTCATATCAATTTGGTATTCAGAGCCTAGGTTTGTCTCATTATCATTTGAAATTTGGTTTCTTTGGTTCCCTAGTTTCACCCTCAAGCGTCAGGTCGATCCCCAGTAGTACAGAGTTCTGCATTTTTATCCGAGAGGACCTATGTGACCATCCACAGAAGCAATGAAACCAGCATCTAGAAACCCACCACCCTCATGCGTTAGACAGATCCCCTCCGGTACAGATCTCTGCATTTTATCCGGGGGGACCGTGAACAGTCCGCCACATGAGCAATGGTTCTCGCCTCCACCCTCCCTTGGAACCCAGGCCACTAATGCAACCAAAACTACTAAAGATCCATTAAGATTACAAGTTGGGCCAATCACAAGGTCTAAGTCCAAACAATTAAGACAACTCTTCATTGGTTATGTTCAAAAATGGTGGAAATCCAATTCAAGCCCAATTGCAAATGATGGCGAAGAACTCAAGGCTTTTTATAATTGTTTAAGTACTGATTTTGGTGATTAAATTAGCCCCAAATCAGCCCTATTATTTTTGGTCATCATTAATTTAAATTGTTTGGCATAAAAGAGAAAACACTAGTTGTATTTAGAAAGGATTCCTTAAATCCTTTTCTAAATAAAACTCTATTTACTTGTTTTCTATATTAGGTTTAGGACTCTTTTTCCCATTGTATTTAGATTACAATGCTGCCCTATACCTATAAATAGGGCACATCCATATCAGTTTTGAGAGACTTTAATTCAATAAAATTCTTAAGTTTTTCTTTACACTTGTGTAAAAAACCTTATAGCTAATTGTGGACTCAATTAGTGGCTAGTCGTGGACTCGACTAGCAAATTGATTCGTGGACTCGAATCAATCTTACTTTCTTCAACCTTAGATTTAGGTTCGTGGACTCGTTCTTGGATCGATGGAAACTAGATCCGACTCTAGTTGATTGAAGATTGCATCATCGAGGTACTTGAAGCTACAATGGGATTCTTCCAAGTCTTTGAGGATTCGAGACAAAGGGTTTATCGTGAGATTTAAGGTATTTCAATCCATCTCTATCTTACATTAAGAGCAATTCTTGGGACAATACTCATCTTATTTGAATCTTAGACTAGATTCATATCAGCCACCCTTGTACGTACAGAGCTCTGCATTTTATCACAGAGGGCTTCAACGGCCCAAAGTCTCAAGCGATGGCTCCCTAACCAGTGATGCCAACATATATACCACCCTTAAGCGTTAGACCAGTTCCCACGGTACAACGTACTGTATTTTAACCCGGGGAACTTGTACGGCCATCCACAGAAGCAATAGTATATATGCTAAGCACCAGAAGCCCACCTCACACCCTCCCAACCCTTTATACCAGCTTTTTCTTCCAATCGCCATTCAAGCTATATTTTTAAAACAGACTAAGAGAGAACTCCCACCTCAGAGTGTATGCTATGCATGAAACACAAGAATCAAATCCTGCGAGACAAACAGCTACAGATAGGAGCAGGTCAGGCAGAGAGAGCACAGAGCAGACAGAGAAAACCCCCAATACTGGAAAGCCCCTACGCCCTATGCCGGCAAGGCCAAACTACTCAACTAGCCCAACAGAAAATAATCATGAAGTAAGCGTACAAGATATAAGTGAAAGCTAAAAAACGTGGCTCGCAAGCCCAAAATACAATCATGCAGGCCCAATAGTAAAAGCATTGTAACACCCCGAAAATTTTAAAACATTTTGATCTTATAATACGAAAACAATTCTATTAAATAGACATTAAATGAAGCATTCTAAGCATAGAGTCGGGGGTGTTATGCCACATCTGAGCTGGAGAACTCAGATGCACAGGCTGTTCTAACTAACTATCCTCAAATATTGTTAGTACATCATCAAGGCACGCAGGCCGAAAGGAATGACTAACTATCTAATCCGAGGTCCTCTAGCGTGCTCCGGTAGCTAATCATCTGTGCCTGAAAGCCAAATATATCTGTTCAGCGAATGATGCTGGTAACCCACTCTAACGCGTTAAAATACAATATAGGTAAATATATATATATATATATATATATATATATATATATATATATATATATATATATATATATATATATATATATATATATGTTGTAGATCTCTTCTGGGGCGTTCGTTTGATATATTATACACGTGATAATTCCTTACGGTCATTGAGATATTGATCTTCAAAGTAAGGGCAGTGTTTCTGTTTTTCTGGGTGATTCTTGAAATTCTTGATTATGTTTTGAAGGGGTTGTGTGGATCTTCTTGGTCCGAATTTTTTTTGATATTTACAGTAGTTATTTGGAGGTTACTTATAAAAAAAATCAAAAAAAAAATCAAGAAAGTTGAAAAAAAAAATCAAAAAAAAAAAAGAAAAAGCAAAAGAAGAAGAAGAATAAGGTTGGGGAAAGAATAAGGTTGGTAGGAGAATCGTGGAGGGAAAAGGAAGTGGAAAAGTATAAGGTTGGAAGTAGTTCTTGATAGATTCCTATTTGGCTGTGGTATACTTGAAACCCTCTTACATTCTATTTGTCTCTATCTTTTGATATTGGTCTTGCATCTCTTTCTACCATACTTCCTTCTTTGGTTTCCTTTTTCTTTCAAATCTTATTTAGTTTCTTTGCTCGTATTGTCTTTTTTCTTTGCTTCTTGCTCTCAATTTTATTACCTATCTCGCGATACACCCTTACTCTCAAAGGCTTGTGAAGTCTTCCAAGGTACGTTTTCTTGAACTTTGAGGTTGAATCCATATCAACTTGAGTACCGGACTAGAATTTTCCTTTTCGGAAAAAGGCTTGTGAGAGTATCTGCCACCTTGAGCATGCATTAAAATTCTCTAGATTTGTTTGCCATGTTTCTATTAATGATCTACTTGCTAGATGTGTTAGAAATTTGTTTGCCTCCATGCATCCAAGATTTCTTAATTTTGATTTTTCTAAAACTTTATTTGATAGAGATAAGGAATCACTTGGAAGTTATAAGGCACATTTGAAAACTTCTTATGGCAAATACTACTTGCACAAGGGGTTTTGGTTCAAAGTCAATGGGATTGGCACTTTTTGCTTTGTTTTGGGCAATGATTTAATTGTTGATTCACATAAGGGACATTTTGATTTTCCAAAGAATGAAGATGTTTTGCATGGATATTTTCATTGGACAAAGAAGAAAAAAGATGTAGAATCTTATGTTCAGAATTGTGCTACTTACCACCATAATACATCTTAATCATTACTTGATATTTCCATAAATTTTCTGTTTTTTTTTTAGTAAAACCATGCTTTATTAAAAAGAGAAAGGCAGAAGCCAAAACAAAGTCTAGAAAGATAAGACGAGATTACAAAACGAAGGCCCCCGGGGCTATAACATGCATGCCCTACGTCCCATGCTAGATATAGCTAACACTCGACCATAGACTAGGACAAAGCAATAAATAAGCTACTAAGTAAAGTAGACTATGCAGCTGCTCAATAAATGTAATGCAAGTGTAGCCCAACTGCATCACGGTCCACCATATATGCGTGAAGATAGATGGCAAGGGGAACAGTCACCTTGCCTGTCACGAGCCATAGCACCTCCCTGCCAGCTGCACTATAGCGTCACAGCACTATAATGCAATCCAACCAAGCTGCAACCACAGCCGCAACATCTCCTGGGATGCTATTGACTGCCCTGTTACAAGCAATAACTCACACTCCCACCAAATATGGTAAAGGCCTAACAATATTCAGAAATATCGGCACACAAGCCTAAGTCAAAGATACATAAATAATACAAGCAGGTCACAGGCCAAACTTCAGTACTCTGACCGGTGCAATCAAGGCAGCCAATAGCATCAAAACCCCGATCAGCACCAGCACGAACCAGAACCAACCCTAACGGGATTAGCTACTATGGGCCAGTAGCAAGCCTGGACTACTACCAACGGATTTGAAAAACACCTACCCGGCCACCGTTCAGCCCGGGCTAGGATGCAATTTCTTACCGCTTGCACCAACGTTGAGGCCTGGTCTATCTTGAAAGATGCCTGAAAAGGCGGAACCAAAAGAAGCCTATAGACCAGTCAATGCCTCGGAGGCCAAAGAAACAAAACCTGCAAAATAGGAAACAAGATAGAACAAACAAACATCCTGCTCCCTTGACCCCAGCTACTTCAAAACAATTCTACATAAAAGGTGAGTGTATAAGGTATTAACAGGCTGACGCGGACAAACAGCTTCCCCCAGAAATAATGGCCCGTCCCCCCCGGAGTCCAGAAGGGTCTCAGCTACTATTGGCCAACAGCAAGCCTGACTAGGTCAATGGATTTGACTAGTCCTGCCCGGTGCACCGTTCAGCCCGGACTAGGGTGCCATGTTGTACCGCCAACACCTTACGTTGAGACTCAGTCCTGACAACAAGACTTCATGGCCTCCAAGAACACCTCACACACTCTCTGTTTTTAGCTCACCTCAACTCTTTCTTTTCCTGCCAATTCCCTCATTTTACCACTCTTTCTTTCTTTCTCCCATATTGTTTCCCCTCAATTCTTTTCATTCCTCTTTTTCTTTTTTCCTCCTTCTCTCTTTTTCTCTGTTTTCATTTTCATTTTCATTTTCTTTTTACCCAGCATAAAATAAACAGCAATCGTACAGGGAAATACAGGCACGCAGGCCCCCAAGTAAGATAAAAGCATAATCAGGGTGGGTCTTCTTCGTCAAAGAAGACATAAGGCACATCGTCACCAATAATGAGAACGCGCACCCTGGATGGGAGCTCTGCTAAACATGTAAAACAAGTCTCTCCTGGCTCGGCAACAGCCCAATCAGCTAGGGCCTGTGCCGGCAGGTTAGCCCTTGATGGGCACAAACTGGCAGAGACAGACCCACATGAACACAGGAAACGGAGGCGGGATACAACCTCATCTAACACCCACGGCGGCCGGATCGAGACATCAAGATAACGTCCCAGGTCCTGTATCGTGGATTCCATAATAATCTCCACATATCCTCCAGCCAGGCACCACTGTAGACAGGAGAACAAAACCCGAAATAATCCTTGGGTATGCTCCCCTCGCCGAGACCACGCCACCCCATAGCAGAGTCCGCCGACTGAGTTGCGCACCAAGGCTGCGTCCCCCTCTCCAGCTTCTGAAAGAGATACATTAATCTTAAGAGCTCTAGCTGCTGGTGGGGTCCACCTGACTGCCCTAACCACTCGTCTCGGCACATGTGCCTCCAGATATGCAACTATTATCCTCCAGCTCGGGGGCAGGATATGCTGCATAGGCCAACGCCTGAATAGGCATTCCGCAACCCCCCTAGCCACCCCGAACATAACTCGCGCAACACTCGGGGAACCCCGACCAAGCATACAGCCGTTACGGTGCTTCCATAGCTCCCACATCACCAAGCATGGCAACCTGCTTACAACAAAAGAAAATAAAGGGTTACGCGCCCCTCCCCGGCCGCAGCCAGCCACTAACGTCCTAAGACTCCGGTGCCGTGACTGCAGGCCTAGGGACGCCAATTTATAACTCCAAACAATTTTTGCTGTTTCCCCATCATAAAAAACATGTGCAATGGTCTCAATAGACGGGGCTGGGTAGCACCTACATCTTGACACGAGCACATGCCCGAAACGAGATAAGGCATCATCCGTGGGTATCCGCCCTCGGAGCACTTTCCAAGCCAAGAAGGACACCTTAAAAGGAAGGTGCTTACGCCAACACTTAGCGAGAAGTGGGTCCGGTGCAATGGGCAAAATAGGCCTTAAGTAAGCCTTAGCTGAGGCATAAGAAAACATACCGTCTGATGCGGCTGTCCAGAGAGGAGTATCCCTCGGGCCTTGGCCCATTCTGGACAAGTCAATGGCAACCCCTGCATATATCAACTCCTCATGACCAGCCAAATCAAGTACACCATCATGTATGTAATCCAGGAGCATCTCCCGAGAGTAAGAAACCCTCGGGAAGAGAAACATGTTTTCGAGCGGCCCCAAACCTGACCAGTTATCCCACCAGAAATTAACCCGGCCCTGGAACACGCGCCACATGAGAACCCGCTCCACCTCATCACGAACTGCTAGCATTCGCTTCCATGTGTGCGAATCAGAATACCGGGCCACCTTGGCGACCGGATGGATCCGCCTACAATACTTGGCTCTCATAAAATCTGACCACAAAGTGTGGTCAGTGCGAAAGTTCCACCACAGCTTCGCACTGGCTGCTCGCACCATTAAGTCTAAGTCTAGGAAACCAACTCCCCCTTCCTTCTTAGGCAAGGAGAGCGTCTTCCACGAACTCCAATGGTACTGGGCCCCACCCGATTGCTTCCAGAAGAAGCTAGCAAAACACCGTTCTATATCCCGAACGACTTGCTTGGGAGGCGCACAGGCTGCAAACAAGTGTAGCGGGATAGCCTGTAACACTGACGATATCAAGGTAGCCTTCCCCCCTTTGGACAAAAGCCATCGTTGCCAACTCAAACACTTAGCTTTGACTTTATCGATCGTCTTGGCAAAGTAGACGCATTTTTTCCGCCCTGTGTACACCGGGCACCCAAGATAGGTAAATGGGAACTCATTATGCACGCACCCGGTTTCCCTGCGAACACTGTCCACTACCCGGTGCGGGGTATGTGGGTGCATATAGAATGCACTCTTTTGAAAATTCACTAGTTGGCCCGAAATTTCCTCATAACTCTTAAGAGCCGTAATGACCTTCGCAATTGCCCCAAGCCTGGCCGTGCTAAAGATTATAACGTCATCTGCATAAGCCAGGTGATGGATATGTGGTGTACCCGGCGGCTGGCTGAGAGAAACGAGGCACAGTGCAATCGTCATAGACTCGGGCCAGATAGACGGAGAGTACCTCCGCAGCAATTACAAACAAGGTTGGTGATAAAGGATCCCCCTGCCTAAGACCCCTTGTGGATGTAAAAAATCCCTCTTTTGTGCCATTCACAATTACTAAGTACCAGACATTCGATAGAGCTCGGTATACCATATCGATCCAAACTTCACTAAATCCCAACCGACGCATCACCGCAGTCAAGAAAACCCAGGACACACGATCATATGCCTTGGCCATATCAAGTTTAAGCACTATGTCCCGATTGTGTCGGTTAAGTCCATGACACATCTCTGAGGCCAGAAGGACATTATCCGTGATAGAGCGACCAGCGACAAATCCACTCTGTTGCGGCGACAACACACGAGGCAGTATTGTAGCCATCCGAACTACCATCAGCTTTGTGACTACCTTGCTACTGAAATTGCACAGGCTTATCGGCCTATAATCCGCAAAGGTTCCTGGACTCGGTTTTTTTGGTAATAGCACAATGGACGTGTGCGTGATAGCTCTAGTGAAGTCCCTTCCGGCAAAATAGCTCCGTACCATGCCGACTACATCATCCTGAATGATGTCCCAGCAAGTCTTATAGAAAGCCCTAGAGAAGCCGTCGGGACCTGCAGCACTCATAGAGTTCATCTGCATTACCACGTGATATGAACCTAGTCCAAGATTCATATAAGATGGAGTATTGTCCCAAGATTACTCTTAATGCAAAGATAGAGATGGATCAAAATACCTTAAACCTCACGAGAAACCCTTTGTCTCGAATCCTCAAAGACTTGGAAGAATTCCATGTAGCTTCAAGTACCTCGATGTTGCAATCTTCAATCAACTAGAGTCGGATCTAGTTTCCTTCGATTCAAGAACGAGTCCACGAACCTAAATCTAAGGTTGAAGAAAGTAAGATTGATTCGAGTCCACGAATCAATTTGCTAGTCGAGTCCACGACTAGCCATTAATTGAGTCCACAATTAGCCATAAGGTTTCTTACACAAGTGTAAAGAAAAACTTAAAGAGTTTTATTGAATTAAAGCCTCTCTAAAACTGATATGGATGTGCCCTATTTATAGGTATAGGGCAGCATTGTAATCTAAATACAATGGGAAAAAGAGTCCTAAACCTAATCTAGAAAACACGTAAATAGAGTTTTATTTAGAAAAGGATTTAAGGAATCCTTTCTAAATACAACTAGTGTTTTCTCTTTTATGCCAAACAATTTAAATTAATGATGACCAAAAATAATAGGGCTGATTTGGGCCTAATTTAATCACCAAAATCAGCACTTAAACAATTATAAAAAAGCCTTGAGTTATTCTTCATATTTTGCAAATGGGCTTGACTTGGATTTCCACCATCTTTGAACATCACCAATGAAGAGTTGTCTTAATCGTTTGGACTTGGGCCTTGTGGTTGGCCCAATTGGTACTCTTGATGGATCTTCATTATGTTGGGCCGCATCATCCTCACCTTCTTGAAAATGATTCGACCTCGAATCTTGTAAGCATTGACTTCGATCCATGATATCACTTGAAATGGGCCACTATAATACTTTCCTCTATCGAATGGAATTATTATTGGGCCTTCTTGTTTCTTCCACAAATGATTCTTTAAGGATGTAGTTATAGGCCTTGTGATGAGCCCACTATAGACCCTTATTGGATTCCATGTGTACTGGTTCTTATTATTCTCCCCTTCTTGAAAAGGATTCGTCCTCGAATCCAAATCTTCAATGAAAGACAAGGTAGGAAGCTCACTTTCTGTTTTATCACGCTCATGGAACTCATTGAACTTCTTCTTGGGATGCTTGACACGAGTTGCTCCAATCTTCATCCTACAATAAACAAGTAAGGCGATTAAGTCTAATGACACAGCATGGAATTTAAACATTTTGAAAGGTAATAGTTCAATAAAATTATACATATTAAATTTAGCCATTTTGTTTGAATTATCAACAAGAACAACATCTTTCCTCCTAGAGCTTAAGGCTAAACCAAACACAAAATCCATGGAAATATCAAGTAATGATTTAGATGCATTGTGGTGGTAAGTAGCACAATTATGAACATAAGATTCTACATCTTTTTTCTTCTTTGGCCAATGAAAATATCCAAACAAAACATCATCATTCTTTGGAAAACCAAATTGTCCCTTATGTGAATCAATAATTAAATCATTGCTCAAATCCAAGCAAAAAGTGTCAATCCCATTAACTTTGAACCAAAACTCCTTGAGCAAGTAGTATTTGCCATAAGAAGTTTTCAAATGTGCCTTATAGCTTTCCAGTGATTCCTTATCTCTATCAAATAAAGTTTTAGTAAAATCAAAGTTACGGAATCTCGGATGTATGGATGCAAACAAATTTCTAACACATCTAGCAAGTAGATCATTAATAGAAACATGGCAAACAAATCTGGAGAATTTTAATGCATGCTTTTGAAATAAAAGTGAGTAAATAGTTACTCCCCTTCTTTTCTCTTGCTTAATATCCTTTGTAGTGACCAAGAGAGGTTGCACTTTGACACCTTGGGCTGGTCCTTTCCACTGTATCACTGATTGTGGTCCCTTTGTTTGGCTACAAACTGAGTTAGAGGATTGGAGTGGTGATTGCAATTCCAAACATGGAGGTTCCACTTTTCTCTCTTTGATTTCTTCCTTCTTTGAGGCTAGTTTGAGAGCTTGCATAAATGTCAATTGAATTTCTTCTACTTGTTTAGGATACAAACGAGGCAAGACATATGTAACTCCATTCATGTGAAACACATAAGTGTTCCTCATTCCATCATAATTTATTTTCCTGTTAAATTGCCATGGTCTACCTAACAAGATATGAGCAGCCTGCATTGGGATATTATCACACAAGATTTCATCAGAGTAACTGTTAATAGATAAAGGAATAAGATCCTGTTTGGTTACTCTAGCTTCTCCTGCATCAGTTAACCATTGTAAACAATAAGCATTTGGATGATTAAGCAAAGGTAACTGGAGAAATGTACCCATAACTGCACTAGCCATATTTGTGCAACTTCTAGAATCTATTACCATAGCACAAGCATTTTCTCTAATTGACCCTTTAGTACAAAATATATTTTCTCTTTGAGACTCATCTTCTTTTAAAGGGTGAACATTCAAAGCCTCCTTAACAACAACAGTATGACTAGACTCACTAGCAACATATTTAGAATCAGAATCTAAAGGTATGAATGGTTCTCCCTCAACATGTTCATTGAGAGTTTCAAAATGGTCACATACCTCATCCTTAGACTTATATTCAAGACAAGAAGCAAAATTTTCAGATTGTTTTGTTATCTTAACTACCCTCTTGTTAGGGCAATCATGAGCTATGTGGCCTCTCCCATTACATCTATAACAAATCAATTCTCTATCATGTTGAGACCTCACTGCCTCACTTACCTTTTCCTTACCTTTTTCTCGTGAATCATCTCTTAGAGGAAGATGTTCATCACACCTTTGTGGGGTTGAACAAGTGTTGTTCAATCTTGATTCACCATTGTTGGACTTGTACATTTTCATTGCTTTGATTTTTGCCTCAGATTCACGTGCAGCATACAGGGCATCATAAAGGGTGTCATATCTCTGAATACTCATTCCACATCGAATTTCTAAGTTCAATCCATGTACGAAACGAGCAACAGTTTTTGTCTCTTCTTCATGTATGTCTCCCTGTTTAAGAAAAATACTTATAGTTTGGTAGTACTCATCAACTGACTTTTTTCCTTGCACCGTTCCCTGCAATTTTCTTTCAAGATCATAGAAAAAAGATTTAGGACGAAAGGTTAGGCGCATATCTTCCCTCACTTGAACCCAAGATTCATAGGGAATAAAATTAGCAACTCTCTCTCTATTTCTTTTTCGCCACCAAGACAAAGCATACCCCTTAAAAGATGTATCAACTAGCCTAATTTTTGTAAGATCAGAATAGTGCTTTAGATTAAAAAGAGTTTCAATAGCATTCTCCCATTCTATGTATTCGGTATGTCCTTTCTCACCGGTGAAGTTAGGAATTTCATGTTTAATGTTTCCTAACTCCATATTACGCTGTTGGATTCTTTTACATCTAGGATCCACTCTTCCTACTGGTGGCAGGTGTCGCTCATCATTGTGTGGTGGTTGCACTTGCTGTGAGCGTTGCTCCAAATTATTCATTCGTTTGAATAACCTGTCTATCTTTTGTTCTAATGTCTGGGGCAGGTTTGGAACTTGTTCAGCCATCTGTATAGGAAAAAAAAATCTAAAAACAAGAAGATATGTGAGTATTCATGTTAGTGAAACCAAAAAGTTGGATCGCTCCCTCACTATTCTCAGCTCGCAGGTAAGAGGTGGATTATATGGCTCTGGGGGTGCACTACACAATCTTACAAACACACACTCCACTCGTGTATCAATCCAAGTGGTAGATACTCTCACAAGCCTTTTTCCAAAAAGGAAAATTCTAGTCTGGAACTCAAGTTGATATGGATTCAACCTCAAAGTTCAAGAAAACGTACCTTGGAAAACTTCACAAGCCTTTGAGAGTAAGGTTCAAGTACCTCGGTGTAGCTTCAAGTACCTCGATGTTGCAATCTTCAATCAACTAGACTCGGATCTAGTTTCCTTCGATTCAAGAACGAGTCCACGAACCTAAATCTAAGGTTGAAGAAAGTAAGATTGATTCGAGTCCACGAATCAATTTGCTAGTCGAGTCCATGACTAGCCACTAATTGAGTCCACAATTAGCCATAAGGTTTCTTACACAAGTGTAAAGAAAAACTTAAAGAGTTTTATTGAATTAAAGCCTCTCTAAAACTGATATGGATGTGACCTATTTATAGGTATAGGGCAGCATTGTAATCTAAATACAATGGGAAAAAGAGTCCTAAACCTAATCTAGAAAACACGTAAATAGAGTTTTATTTAGAAAAGGATTTAAGGAATCCTTTCTAAATACAACTAGTGTTTTCTCTTTTATGCCAAACAATTTAAATTAATGATGACCAAAAATAATAGGGCTGATTTGGGACTAATTTAATCACCAAAATCAGCACTTAAACAATTATAAAAAAGCCTTGAGTTATTCTTCATATTTTGCAAATGGGCTTGACTTGGATTTCCACCATCTTTGAACATCACCAATGAAGAGTTGTCTTAATCGTTTGGACTTGGGCCTTGTGATTGGCCCAATTGGTACTCTTGATGGATCTTCATTATGTTGGGCCGCATCACCATGTCTCTAATCTCTTCTACTTCTGGGACCGCTGTCAATACATCATTCTTGATGTGGATCATTGGGGATGAAGTTGAGAGTTGATTCACCAAAGAATCCTCCGGTTGTCCGATCTTTTCCTCACCAAAACAGCAGGAACAACAATTACAGTTTATGGGTGTTGGAGATGGAATTGGTTGATGTAGGGGCTGGATTTGGGATTATTTTTGTGTTTTTGTATAAGGATATTTCCGCCACACCTTGGTCTTAGGTGATAAGGAATGGATGGCACCACAAGATTGGTATTATCTTGATAAGCCTAAAAGAACATCTCTCAACACACAAGAGAGAAAACAAAATGCCTTAGCATTTCTTTCATTCAACTTCATTCATCTATCTCCGAAATTCTGATTGTTCTTAGCCTTTAAATAGGCTAATACAT